TTGGGGGCAATATGCTGACTCTGTAAACCGCTTAGAGAGGGCTGAAAGCCCTATGAAGCGGTATATAAGTCTAACTGCTATTGCTATTGCTGCCTCACTGAGAGTGGGAGAGGCCGACCAGTGTCCGAAAAGCATGATTTATTTATGGTTTTCTTTTTCGGCTGTCCATCTTGCTGTCAGGTGGCTCTTGGCTTACCTGCTCCTTGTTGTTTTCCAGGGCTGGGAGCACCTCCTTAACGGTGCGCTCCACCAACACCCCTCCTACCATGCGGAAGCACTTCCTACTGGGGTCCACATCTCTGAGGGTCTCGATGACCAACCTGCAGAAGAGACGGACATTCCAAGCTCATTTCAGCAGCTCCGGGGCAAGGCCAAAACCAGGGAAGAAGCTAGAACAGTGTTTCTCAACCTTGTCAACTTGAAGATGTCTGGACTTCAACTCCCCAGAATTCCCCAGCCAGCATTTGCATTCGCTGGCTGGGGAATTCTGGTAGTTGAAGTCCAGACATCTTCAAGTTGACAAGGTTGAGAAACACTGAGCTAGAATAACCTGCAAATCAGTTTGCAAGACTTCCGCCTTGAAGCCTCACTGCAGCCCAGATTTTGAACACAGGTAGTCCTCGACTTACAACCGTTCGCTTAGTGACCATTCGGAGCTACTGAAGAGTGCCTTGACTGTTTTTCATACGTGGGCATCCCTGTGGTCACGAGAGCAAAACTGAGACGCTGGGCAACTAACTCATATTTATGACGGTTACAGTGTCCTCGGGTCACGGGATCTCCTTTTGCGACGGCCTGATAAGCAGAGTCCATTTCGAAGTCAAATTCACTTAACAACCGTGTCGCTAAGCTAACAAGTGCAGTGATTCCCTTAACAGGTGGGGCAAGAAAGGTCGTAAATGGGGCGAAGCTCTCTTAGCTGTCAAGCTTAGCAACTGGAATTTGGGCCTCAATTGTGGTTGTAAGTCGAGGACTACCTGTACCAGGTGGATCTAGGCTGCCCTAATTGAATTCCAACCAAGGCAGAAAAACATCCGGCTTTTATCTGCCAAGAGCCAAGAAAATCCCCGCTTTCCCTCTGTGGCCACGACATACTTGTGTTCGTTCAGCTCCATCTCCAGCTCAGCCGCCTTCGAAGCCAGGCCTCTCTGCTCCTGGCGGAGACGGTTGAATCCTGCTACCACCTGGAAGGAGAGAAGATCAACTCCGATCACCTTCCCAGTCCAATTGTGTGTGTCAGACCTGCCCCCCGTTTGATCCCTTAGCGCAGGGGTCAGCAAACTGCAGCTCTGGAGCCGCATGTGGCTCTTTCCTCCCTCTGCTGCGGCTCCGTCACCGGTCGGCGCCACAATTTTGAGAGGAGCTTCCGGTGGGGGGGAAGGAAGGGGGGGGAGAGAAGCACAGTGAGCCAGGAGAAGACTCTATGGCAAGGGGAGGGTTTTCCAGTTGTCTCCATAATTGATAGGGCTTTCGGTTATGCCAGGTAGAGGAAAACACGTGCCACGCCAGGAGGAGATTCTATGGTG